TCGCTTTAAGAGAGATATTGAGCTCCTGGAGCGAGTCCAAAGAAGGGCAACTAGACTGGTCAAGGGGCTGGAAAATAAAACTTATGGCGAGCGGCTAAGGGAGTTGGGGCTGTTTAGCCTGGAGAAGAGGAGGCTGAGGGGAGACCTGATTACAGCCTACAAATACTTGAGAAGGGATGGTGGGGAGGTGAGGGAAGGGCTCTTTACATTAGTGATGGGTGATAGAACAAGAGGAAATGGGTACAAGCTTAGTCAGGGGAGAATCAGGTTGGATGTTAGAAAGTATTTCTTCTCTGAAAGGGTTGTCAGCCACCGGAATAGGCTGCCCAGGGAGGTGGTTGAGTCCCCATCCCTGAATGTGTTTAAGAAAAGGGTGGATGAACTATTTAGGGATATGGTTTAATGGGGATTAGGGACAGTTGAACTGGATGATCTCTAAGGTCTTTTCCAACCTAGAAATCTGTGAAATCTATGAAAATAACTGCATCAAATTCATAAAAGATTTTTGACTGGAAATACCTTATGTCATACCTTTGGAAGAGGCACCTTGACACCATATACAAACTTACTAAATACAAAAATAATCCTGGGCACTTAGAGGTAGCTCTAGAAATCCTGGATAGCTCCTGTCCCTCAATGTGTTGTCAACATAGCAGAGCCTCACCCGTTCCAATGCGTTTGCCAGTCTGTGGGACAGGATCTCTCACATGCATTAATCTAACAAGCATGAGTTGCTGTTGGGGAACTGTAGCGATTTGAGCACAGTAATTTTAATTCCCCTGGTTAAAAGCATGTACTGACTTTTTTTGTCTCCTTTGAATAAACTAAATTGTTTTCTAATCAGAGAAGACGAGATTTAAACTTCCATAGTAACATTGGCCTTGGGTGAAACATGTAATAGCATTAATCTGCAAATATAACAATGGTGATGATTGTGTATTCCGTGGTGATAGCCTTCTTGTCTGGCCTAACAGAATGAAATACTGTCTGTGGTGAGTTCTTCACACTTTCAGTTTCATTTTGGTGTGGTTCGTTTTTGTCTAAGTTATAAGGATATCCTATATTTCCATCAACTGGGCAAATAATAGTTTGAAGTTAACTACTAATGATGTGCTTCATAAGTCGTGCTCTCATATGTTGGGTGAAGTATCTTCACACAGCTGAAATATCTTCATACAGTCCTGTATGCAGCCACGGAGTGGGGAGGCCTGACCAAAGCCTGAGCTCTGTGATGTGGCTGTTTCAAGTGTCTTACATTCCTTCCTCCTTACATTTGTACAGGCAATAAAGAGGACCGTGTGTTTTGTCAGAACATGAGAACAGCAGCAGATTTATGTTGTTGGTTAGGTTCTTGTGTTTTGTGGGTTTTAAAGCAGGCCAACCCTTGGATATTTTTAGGAGCGATTCAAGTTGACTATCGTTGGTATTTGTCCTTGGATAAATGCTTACAGGTATTGCTGTTCTGAGTTACTCATGAATGATTTTCTTTTAATGACCTGGGAATTAATATCTTACTGGTTACTGGTTAGGAATGTCTGCCTTTAAATCAATTTTGAAAATCCTTTTAAAAACCATGCACCTGACTGTGTGCCTGTCTGATTGCAGTTGGCAGGAGCAGAGGCACATCTCTGCCCCAGATACATATATACATACTAGGAAATTGCTTTCTTAGCAAGGCAGTGATCCTACAGTTTAAATCCCAGCAAAGATCAAGCAAGGGTTAACATTTCAAGGGTTTTTTGTTCAGTTTCAGTTTCCAACATAAGCTCTACTTGTACATTACTTACAAAAGCTTTTTTATTTTCAGTGACAGCTGATGAGCTATGGAAAGGAGCTTTGGCAGAGACTGGTGCGGGAGTAAAGAAAGGAAGAGGAAAGAGAAGGAAGAAAAAGCTAAGGAAGAACCTCAATAAAGGCCAGGAGATTGGGGAAGGTAGATTCACAAATAAGGGGCTGAAGGCGTCTTGACCTTTTCATGTATAGTGTTTCTTCATTTAATAAATTGACAAATTGCTGTTAATTTCTGTGGTGTCAGAACTACTTGAGATATTTTTGTCTTTTAAAAAAATCCTGTTATGGTTGTTTAATGTTATTCTTGGTTTTTAAGTATCAATTCGGTATCATAAAATGCCCTTGAAATATATGAGAACCTGCCATTTTATTGCATTTTTCCAGTGTGCATAGTTTCAGTCCTAATTTGGCATAAAATGTAAATTTTCTCTGTTATTTTTAAGGACGTTCTGGTTTCCTCTGGCCTGGCCTTAATGCTCCTGTCATACAAAGTGGGAAAGTCCAGGCAGTTACCCAACGAAAAAAAGAAGAACGAGAGAGAATTCAGTCTGACATTGTTCAGCAGAGAGATACATGGGAAAAGAGAAGAAAAACAAAGGTTAAGAGAGAGGGAGGATGGAGCGGAAAGTGTTGGGGAGGTGTCCTTCTGGATCCTCCTGACCCAGGTCCTCATGGAGGTAAGAAAACTAAGTGTCTATCTTAGTCTTAGTTAGCTTTTCTGGTAAGAAGAAAGTGAGACTTTCCTGTGATTGAAAAATCCTGTGATTGAAAAACCCTTTTCCTGTGATTTTGTAGTTCTCTCTTATATGCCCAATGATGAAGCCAGACAGCTAAATCAAAGAACAATTTGTGTTAACACACGTGAAATTTGTTGAATTGCTGCTTAGTTTAATATAGCTGTTAGGCTATTATATTATGTTGTAGACCCGATGACGTTTTGCTGTATTGCAGAGTACTGTATTATGTTGTAGACTGTTACTGGAGTCTTGAAGTTTGGAAATATTTTCTGTGTTCAATGTCAGTTGCCTTGAGTATGAAACATAGTCATGTTTTTTAATAGTTTCTTAAAGGATCTTGTGGGATAAATCAGGCTTTTTTTGCTAGTTCATTTGACAAAATATGGTTAAAGATGATGCAGTTCAAATGTAGCTGATTTTATTTATTTATTTGCTGCGTAGTTAAGTATCATTGTGAAACTAGAGGTCCTATACATAGAGTGGCGAGGTGACCTTAACTTTTTTTACAGTGCTGTTATTCAGACCGCTAGAAACTGTAAAGTAGTTTTGTTTAATATTTAGAAGTCTAATCCTTTTTAACTAATTAAATATGAAAATGAGTCGTTACTCATATTCAGCTGAGTTTTTCTTGTGAAGCACTTCATGTTTATTGTTGTCTTTCTGTAGGCTTTTATAGTAAGATGAGCTAAGAAAGGCAGTTGATGGTTTCTGGCACTGTTGTTTCAGGCTTATTGCAGACTCCAGTCATTCCAAGAGTTAAGCTTGTTCATGTTTTTGGAGCTTTCTTTGTCCAGGAGTGTGTTCTCCCAGTGTAAGCTTGGGACATATGTTGCAGCTAGTTGTCCTGGTTTCATAAATGGGAAATTGTGTGCATGAGATCACAATTATATTGCTGTCTCATCTTCTTGCAATCACCTCTGCTCCCATCTACCTGGTGCTTTGTTTATTAATTTATTTCAGTCTGTAAATATTTTCTGGTTACGTTCTATTGGATGTTAATTAAAAATTCAGGCATGCTTTGAACCAAGCCATAAAGTAGTAAGAGCATTGTCTTTCCAGTGTGATCTAATGCCTTTCTCTATGTGGATTGAATTTACACTGGCATTTTTGTAGCTATTTGCTTTATAAATCCATGCTGTTGGTGTTCAGCTCTGGAGTCCCCAACACAAGAAGGACATGGAGCTACTGGAGCGAGTCCAGAGAAGGGCCACGAAGATGATCAGAGGGCTGGAGCACCTCTGCTATGAAGACAGGCTGAGAGAGTTGGGACTGTTCAGCCTGGAGAACAGAAGGCTCCAGGGTGATCTCATAGCAGCTTTCCAATACCTAAAGGGGGCCTACAGGAAAGCTGGAGAGGGACTTTTTACAAGGGTGTGTAGTGATAGGACAAGGGGCAATGGCTTTAAACTGAAAGAGGGGAGATTTAGGTTAGATATAAGAAAGAAATTCTTTACATTGAGGGTGGTGAGGTACTGGAAGAGGTTGCCCAGAGAAGTTGTAGATGCCCCATCCCTGGAGGTGTTCAAGGCCAGGTTGGATGAGGCTTTGGGCAACCTGTTGTAGTGGAGGATTTCCCTGCCCATGGCAGGGGGGTTGGAACTAGATGATCTTTGAGGTCCCTTCTAACCCTAACCATTCTATGATTCTACTTCTCTGTTCCCTTCCCACATTTTCCATTCCTGTTGCTGGTATGGATGATTTTGTAGCTTCTGTTCTTGTAGTGTCTGAGATACATGTTTCCCTCAGATTTACCTTGTGAGTTTAAGGGGAGCTTGCCTGCCAAGCTCTTGAAACATTTTTTGGTTGTCCTCAATTTTAAGAGCAATGCATTCCATTTTAATAGCAGCATAATACTGCAGTGTACAAATGAAAGAGTTCCTATATTTACTTCTGTTTTGTTTTATTACCTTGAAAGCAAATATTCCATGGAAGACAGTTAGGTGACAATGGACTTGGCAGCCTGTCACGGAATCTTACAACTGACAAATAGAAGATTTGAGAAATTAATGAATTTTTCCAAATTCCTCATAAGTCAGTGCTAGAATACAGAGAAAGTCAAGAAAATGTCATGGTTCTAGTTCTACACCTTGAAGACAAAACTATGTTGTTTTTTAATTCAGATATATTTTCAAGTGGTTTATTCAATTAAAAGAAGTGGCAGCTGTTGCAAATAACATTTATGCATGTATGAATTTTACCTTCTGGTGTTTTCCTTGATTTTGCTTTTGGCTGATACTATTGATGTTGATTATATGCATTAAAGTTGGCTGTGTGGAGGCTGTAGTAGTCAGATCAAGCTCTGCCAAAAAGAGGAAAGGGCACTACAGTCAAAAGAGGAAAATGAAACTGTCTACCTGTATTAAAAATGTGCTTGAGAAAAAGCAGTTACTGATTAGTATAGACTAATTTCCTTTTAATCTGTTAAAAATTGCAGAGATTTTTCAGGTCCTCATAGTTCTTTCAGCATCTTTTTATTTGGAGAATCAATGATTTTGCAGGGGAACTGGGACAATGACTGTGTGAAAAGCACTGTCAAGGTGGTAGGAGGAGTAGACCTGAAACTCCCAAACCCAATGAATCCTTTTGTCCTGAGGCTACGGTGTGACTGGATTCCCTGCTAAGCAAGCATGAGTTGTGATTGAGATTCTGCAGTTCAGCTCTTCCTAGTATTCTGGTATTAGATTCTCTAGTAACAAATGGAGGTTGAGCATATGCTGCAGCTTCCCTTCAGCAGAATTCGTATTTTCTCATGGAAAAAGGTACAGCAACTTTGTAGAAACCTTGATGTTGTTAGCCTTCAACATCTGACAAATTTTTTTGAAATGTACTAGTATGTTAAAAAAAAAATAAAATTGGGGACATACTGTGATCCTTATATACTTCATTCTTTCAGGGGGATCTTCTTCCACTATGCCTTTACTTATTGTGCTAGCTGTGAGTAGAGAAAGAACAATATTTTTCGATTGGAAGTAAAATTATTCTTTCAAGTTTGCAGTGTTTCTGTGCAACTGAAGAGGCTTGAGAGAGGGAACAGAGTGACAGGCATTCATATTCTCTACTGTGAGCAAGAAGTTAACTGCTTGTAGATGAACAGATCTCTAAATTTTGCTGAGATGATCATGTTTGTAATAATTTTGGAGGTTATGTGTAAATGATAAAGCAATGTTTGGTGAAGGAGTGAGTCCTCAGTTCTCCACCATTATACTGTTTTCGACTCCCAAGCCTTTCTCCAGAATCTCACTGTGACTACACCAAATAAAATAAATATTAAATGCTTTAATTGACACAAGTTGTCTGTGTTATACTGAAATGCTCCTGTTCATGAGATGAATTGGAAAAGCAGGAGGTCAGAACTCTTACCTATTCTGTTTCTTACACCAAGACACTGCATTTTACTTCATTATCAATTGTTTTCTAAGTCAGTAGGCTTTTTTTTCCACAGCCAAGCTGATAATATGATACTTCTTGTGGAAAATGTATCTGTATTAAAATATAGATCGATTATAAGTATGATCTCAATTGCATAAAAGGAAACAAATATATTTGCAGTTCAGGTGTTTGTGTGGTCATCAGGTTTTGAAAGAGAAACTCAGAGAAAATGGGATCTTTTTGGCAGTATCCGTGATTTGCAGCATTTTTGCCTGCTTCCGTAAAATGGATTTTGAGAAACGCCAGTGCAACTGCTGAAAGCCAAGGCTAAGGGATTTGCTTACTTTTGCTATGGTGTGTGTCAGGGTGAAAGCTTATGGATAAGACCTGATGGGACTGCTGTTGGCATGATTTTGCTCTCTCATTTGATTTACTGTCTTTGGAGGCAGTATGTGTAGATGCCCATGTCATGCCCAGAGCTCTCCAGTATTGCTCCTTCCTCCTCCACAATGTTGTAAGACGTTTCAAAAATGTCTTAACCTCTTTGAAGTCTCTTCTAATGACAGAGCAGAAACTTACTTTCTTTGCAGGTGAAAAGGATATGTTTGCCACTTAGAGCTGAATATGTAATGTGCACCTGAACAGAGCTCTGTGTTCAGTGTTTCATTATGACTGTGATGAAAAGACTTGAGCATGGATGTGACATAGACGTGATCTTTATTTTACAGTGCAAAACACCTTAACTGTTACTAGGCAAAATAAATGGTGCTGCAGTTGTCTTTGATTGCAAAGAAATTTTTTCAGGCAGAGTTTGCAATTGAAAGAGAACAAAAAAAAAAATTCTGGCTATGTGATTCTTGGTTATTTGAAGTGGTTATGTATTGTTTTGTTTTATCCCTCCCACTTTCTGGAATTTCACAGAAATATGTATCAAGAAATACTTGCAATTTTTTTGAATCCCCTGTTCTGAAGAATATTGAATAATAGTTTGGCCATGGTGGAAGTGACCCATTAGGTGATTTACCTTTTTATTTTTGAACCATTTACAGCCTTTACTCAGTGTGTGTGAAATTTTGGGTTCATTTACAGTTTTAGAGCAGGTTTTAGGGAAGAAGGCAGTTTACACTGCCAGCCAGTGAAAACCCAAAACATTCTGTTTTCCTAACACACTGTGGATAGTTATTTTTCCTAGCATTTCTGCAGTTGGGAAAGAATTAGGAAGAATATCAGATATAATTGAACAAAAATGCTTCAATGTAAGTGATGAGTTGCAGTGATTTCCAAAGAAAGCTTCAGGTTTAATCTGGAGAGGATGCATAGCTTAGCTTGTGATCAAAATATTCAACAGATTCTGATGATGTCTCAGTCTTTTCTATCGAATTTAATTTCTGTGTAATGTTGAAACAGAACGGTTAAATTTATATGTCTTGCTTTACTATTAAAAAAATTATTATTTTTATTGCTCGGTGCTACCCTGGTTATTTAAGTTGGAGGATCTTTGGAGACTGTTTCTATCCTACTTCCCTGCATGGTATGGTATGGTATTTTAAAAGATATTCATTGCAGATAAGATACTGATTTTATTTTAAGATATTCATTTAAGATTTTATTTTAAGATATTAATTTTAAAAGATATTCATTGCAGTTGGAGGTCAGGGTCCCTAATAGAGCACAATGAATCTATTGAACAGTTGTCATTTAATTATAACAGGAGCTATGTTGTAATTAGAAGAAGAGTAGTATTACACTTTCCGGGGAGTTATCATTTGAACTGGATCTTTTTTAAGCTACTTTCCTTCACATATGTTGATTTACTGAAAAAATGGGGAAAAAAAAGTGCTTTATTATTAAGAACTATATGCTGTTTTTTCACTGACTTTATTTGAAAAGAGGCTGAATTAATGGAGTCAAGTAACAAAACATATTTGAGGTCTTTTTAACTAATAAAGTTCACTTTAGAGATGTTTGTTCAAATTATTCTTACCTGTTCTACTTATTGCGGAGATGAATTTATAAATTGCAGTTACATAAAAATCGTGTCCTTTTTAAATTATACCTTCTATCCAGAGCTGTGCTGCTAGGTAAGAAATACAAGGAATTGTAATACCCTGTTTTTCTCCCAACAGAAACTTACGAAAATTTTGAAACAAGAGTCATTGAGGTAAGCATTACAAACCTTTTCAAGGGCTTGACATCATTATAATTATTTTATATTGATCTTGCAATTATTTAATTAGTCTTTGCTAAGTCAACCTTCTAGCAGTAGGAGTTAGTGGATATTCTGTTTCAACTGCATGACATAATCTGTCATTCTTTTCATTGGAGCCTTATCTTCTCTGTTGAACATGCAATATCTAATTCAAGGGGGGTTTCGAGTAACTCTGAAATGTCAAATGCCTGCAGATAAAACTTTAATAGTTTGCATACAACCATAATAGGAAACCTAGTGAAGTGTTAGGGTTGTTTCTCAGACAAAACTACAAGTAGGAAGTTGTATAATTCTGCTTGTAAAATGAATAATTAATTAGAGGGGGGAGTGGCAGCACAGGGCAGAGAGTGAGTGGGATGAACATCCCATTTTCTGTGCCTCTCAAGTAATAAAATACTCACTTGTCCTAAATGTCTTAACCTCTGATATTTGTATCTTCTGGGAAAAATGTTTTATATCCACTTTGTTATTCTCCTTACTGACAGAGTAAGGATGATGGTTATGACTGAACGAATGCAAGTCTTGTTTCCACCCTTGTTTCTAAACAGATTATGTTGCATCATCTCACTTCAAAAATATCTATCATTCAAAACTATTAACTGACAAAAGATGTCTGCGTTCCAGTATTTTCCTCGTCTCTGGTTTTTGATAAATAAGATCTAATATATGCTGTAAATCCTGCTATCTCAATTTGCAAGTAATAATTCACATGCTTATGTCATGAATTTACTCCTGGCTGGTCATCACAGAATCAGTCTGTGTACTCTTGAACTCTGTGACTGGCTGACTAAGGCTTCCTAATGGAAATGTGGAATATTTTAAAGAACAGCATATGTGCTGAAATGCATTCTGCATGTTCTGGGTATTTAATTAAATCAGTGAATCACCTTAGAATAATTTTGTTGTGGTAAATTAAGAAGCGACAGAGATTAAAAATATTTAATCTCTTGTATTTAATGACATTATCACCTTTTTCCAACATACAGTAACTTTTCAATGTGTAACTGGTTGTATGTAATCCCTTGGTGTGAAGTGATATTATCTGACCACTAAATCCATGTCACTGAGTATATTTGCTGACTGACAGCAAAACTTCACGCTAAAGGGTAAGATCCTTAATACTACCAAAACAAGTTCTTTTGCTATCCAAATTCTTCATGATTTCAACAGGAACACCACTCAGAATGTGGTCAGAGAAGATATTTATTTCAAATATGATAGAGGTGGATTTTGCTTTGAGAACAAGGTACTTCATTGGTAATAATTTTTTACTGGTGAAATGTAAAGTGTTAGTAATGCAGATATGTGGACCCATTTACTTCTGAATGGAAAAGCCATTGCTGAAGAAGGAAGCTTGCAACTCATATCAGAGCAGACCATTTAGTGCTACACACACCCACACTATTGCGAGATATTTTATGCATCCAAATTATCTTATTAGTTTTTCTTTCATTTCAAATACATTAGTTGCTATGGAAACCATAGAACTAGTATAAGCATTGTTGGGGAGAATCATTACTTCAGAAATAAATTGATTTCTGTGATTCATTTGCTCCCAGACCAGGATCAAATGAAGCAAAGCATCCAGAAAGGGAGCAGCTCTGGAAGTGAGAACAATTATTTGCTGTCTACCCTTGCATGTTCCCTTCTCTTCTACTTGTAATTTTAGTGAGACTTGTGGTAGCAGTGGCCAAGTCATTTCCAGCTCTATCTGTGTCCAGAAGTTTGTTTCTTAGACAACTGAAGTCTCAAAATTACTTGTTTATTTATTTAAATATCTAATGCATTAAAAGGACTTGATATTTTCTAAAATTATTGATCCATTAGAAAGCAACACCCTCTATGATGTGGCAAATTAACCACTTCCAGCTGGGGGCATCAGAAAGCCCCCAGAGAAGATACGATTTGGCCAAGTCGGTCTTGTTCATAAGTGTTGATCTTACTGGTGAAGGGGCTGGGAGAAATTCACTGTTACTTGCAGCACTTTTTGGTGGGGTGAGATCATAGAATCATAGAATGGTTAGGGTTGGAAAGGACCTCAAAGATCATCTAGTTCCAACTCCCCTGCCATGGGCAGGGACTCCCTCGACTACACCAGGTTGCTCAAAGCCTCATCCAGCCTGGCCTTGAACACTTCCAGGGATGGAGCATCTACAACTTCTCTGGGCAACCTGTTCCAGTACCTCACCAGATCTCAGAGCCATGTTCAGCTCCGTGTGCCCTGAAGCCCCACAGAGCAGGAAACTGTACTTATGAGTTGGCTGCAGGGTGGAGGAAGACATCCTTGCAGAGCGTTCTGCAGAGGTGGTTGTGAGAGCACTGCCATTCTGGAAACAGCTGCTGTAAGGGGATTTCCTTTGCATAATTAGGCACACAGAGTAAGAGAATCTGCACCTCCAGTAGCTGCCACTGAACTCTCACAGACCGAATGAATTCCGAAGGACTTTCTGTCAAAATTTGGATTGCGCTTTGATAAATTAAACCTTGTTACACAAATACTCTGGTGCATAAATCAACCCAGTAGTTTTCTGTGTAAAGTAATTAGAATTGTAGAATATCTTGAGTTGGAAGGAACTCATAAGGATCATTGAGTCCAACTCCCTGCTCCTCACAGGACTACCTAAAACTGAACCATACGACTAAGAGCATCGTCCGGATGCTCCTTGAACTCTGATAGGCTTGGTGCTGTGACCACTTCCCTGGTGTTCCAGTTTTAGCTGGGACAGTGTTAGCTCTTCTTTTTTTTTAACAGCTAGAAGAGCTCCGTGTTTTGGTTTTACTCAGAGGCTCGCTCTGAGAAGAATGCTGATAGCAAGTTGATGTTTGTGGTTGGATGTGAAACTCCAAGGACTTTTCAGTGTGCCGGAGTGCAGAAGCACGGCGGGATAAGGGGGGAGCGTAGCTGGGACAAGGGGGACACGATTCCCCTTGTGATTTGTGGCGAACTTAAGATTGAGGGCCAAACTGGCCAATTAGTATTCCATATCATGCAGCGTCATGCCCAGTATAAAAGTGAGGGTCAGCCGGGAAGAAGGGCTTTTTTTTGCGCTTCGGCTTTTGCGCTTTGGCTTTTGCCGCTTTTG